CTAAGCGTGGAAGACTGTCCGAGAAGTCGACCTGATTAGATAGTCAGTCCGGAGAGTTAGCACCTCGGGGCTCGACATACGGGTCAGTCTTAAGGCATTCTACTGCGCGTATGCCTATGCTACGGCGATCGAGAAAATGCCCTCGGCTGACCTACCTCTGCGATTGCATGTAAAAGTCTTCGCACGTAGGTCAGTAGCTTAGCAGGGATACGCCCACCTAAGGGATGGCGACAGCTCCCGCAGGTGGAGGTAATGTTGTACCTCGCGGGACCCTAACCTGTCGTAGGGAGTCGCGAGAGAAATAGCACGCGCACACGGTCGGAGTTGGTATTTCGTAAAGTGACAAAAAGAAACTCATGCGTGACACGATCGTGAGGTCCAACACAAAAAATATTACTTTGCGGCTGGGTGTGGGACCACCGCGCGCGACAGGTGATGCTGTTGCCGGGGATCTCGCTTCTAGCCGAGGTCCTTAGTGAACGAACTCGGGTAAAGCAAGATCCAGGCAGAACGACGTTTATTGAAGATTCGGTAATTAACTAAGACTCTAATGGCTGGTGACGAGTAGTTGCTCCAAGTAAAATCGGTGTGTAAAATAGGGACTTAATACACATAAATACGATTGCCCTACTTATACTAAGAGTTAGCGAACATGGCACCTAAGGGACGTGGGACAGGAACTGGTAGAGGAAGAGGCGACAGACAAGGGAAGACGCTTGAAAGACCTGTAGACTTGACTAGAGATAAGGAAGAGTGGAAAGAAAATGATGAAGGACTAGAAGAGAAGGACGAAGGGTTAAGGGCGAGACGGTATCGGGAGGACAAACGTATGCATACCCCAGATTCTGATCAGATGGCCTACTATTCGTATAGGTACGCAAGGCATTACGGAGAATCTCCGTCGCGCTTCGAGTTGCCTATTCGATTGCATCATAGCCTTTACCCACCATCTCAAAAGAGGCAGTTGGTTATCCTCTCCCGGCCTCACCAACAGGGGCCCCGCGGGGCACCAAGCATGCCTGATCCTCCTGTAGTTGCGCAGTCTGCGTCTCTTGATAGGAGGATGTGCATATCGCTTTTAATGTTTTTACTATGTCAAATAGAGATCTGTGGGTTAGTAACATACTTACTGTACAAAAAAATCATATAAAGGTTCAAAAGGATCAAAGGAGATGATGGGATAGAAAGGGGAATCAGTCAGATCTTGGGATTATAAGTCTACTAGCTAAAATAAAAGAGATGTGGGCTGGATTGTGTTGTGTAGTAGGTGGGGTATACCAAAGAAAAGAAGATGGTTTCTGCCCGATATCAAGTCACGATCAGAGAGCCCGTGCAAATGAGGCGTGGCCTGATGATGAATCTGCCAAGTCGTCATGTGGAGAACGATGAGACGGGGTATTGTTGGGGGATCTCTGTAGAGAAACAAACTTTCATTTGGATCGAGTCTGTATGGGTTGGAGGCGAAAATCGCGCAGTAGAAAGGGTTACCGTGTATCTTTCTTTGGACAAATTGCAAACTATCATAAATTTAGTCTTAGGAACTAATCGATCTCTTTCCAGACTATTGTGGATAGCAGAATCCGCGCTCGAGTCTAGGAGAACAGATGCAAGCTTGAATGGGTTTGAAGGAATGATAGGAACTGTGAGGGTAAGAAAGGTTAACGATTTTCTTCCACCAGCAGCATATCTAAGAGGGACCCTTCCTATGTTCATCGTAAATGCAACCTTCGGAGGAAGGACCCGAGTGGAAAGGGCTGCGGAAGCCGCAATGGCAATACCTGAGAAAGAATATCACGCATTTACCCTTCTGCTAATATACTACATATACCTAGAGATATGACATTTGATTGAAGGAAGGGATCCTCAAGACATACTAGCAAGGATCCACTCATATGCATGTTAGCACGATTGGGAAAATAGGCATGTCTACTGGGAGGAACTGAAAAAGGGGATCCTCGATCAAATAGAAAGAGGTGCTCAAGGAAGACTGAGATAGAAAATTATTAAGAGACGGGGAAATTGAGCCGTTACTAAGAAGAGAAGGGTTCTTTCTTTGGCTGTTGTAACAGGTATACCAGGATGACTCCTTTGACGTGGTTCGCTGATCGGAGCTTCCTGATCAACCTGCCAGAGCCAAGGGAAGGAGGAGTCAAAATGACACTACCGAAGAGGACAATAGATTTGGATGAGGAAATGGAGTCATGGTGCGGGATACCGATAGGACAGGAAGCCTTCCTTTGGATAGAAACTGGGTGGACCACAAAGGAAAGACAGGCAATAGTGAAAGTGACCCTTTATCTACCAACCCTTCTCTGGAGGGCATACTCGATCGATCTTGCGATAGGAGAAAGCCGCCCCGTCTCTAGATACGTGTTGATAGTCGGAATGACCCTTAATGCATTTTCAAGGAGAATGTATTGGGGAGAAGAAGGAGTAGTTATAAAATCAATCGAAGCAAAGTGGACCGCTGAATTCGTATATCCAACAAGGTACATTAAAGCCACGCTTCCGAGCTTCATAATTGATGACGCGTTTTGGGGGATTGAGAATATAGAACGAGCAGTACTCGCAGCCCAATCAATTCCAGAGATGGGCTTCGAATTCGAGGCATCGGAAGTTGTTTACCGCCTATACTTGGAGATGGGACTTAAACTAAAGAGTAGGGATTTCTATAACGTATTATGCGTAGTAAACACGTACCTACGCACTTATCATTTTGAAGATCTTTTGACCTACTGGCGCAATCTTTGCCGGGAAGCATGTATTGAAGAATTTATAGATGAAATCCTTTCCTTATTTGGTATGGTTAGAAGCTTTTGGCACGGGGACTGGGTGCTCCTAGAAGAGATACTCGGTTGAGAGAAAAGGGATATGAGAAGTCGCATAGGGTAAGTTAAGTGACAAGAATGAAGAACACGATAAGATAGTGACGAAAAATGTGGATCAATGGTCGTTTTGTGTGTCTTAACAGGGTCTACAGGCTAGTAGGAACCAATAAGGAAAGAGGGAAAGAGATGGGCGAAGCCAGCGCCAATGGAGATCCGCTGATCACCGCGACGGAAATCGCGAAGTTGCTGGAAAAGAGGACGATAAAAAGATCTAACTTACCAAGGATAAACATCTTCCCATTCAAAGGGGATAGGGTGACATATTGGTTGAAACTACTCGGGCAGATATTCAACCAATTGACCCCAGCCGAGAAGTTTGCCCAATTATTCGAGTACGTATGGTGGGAGTGCACCTCTTACGTAGAAGAGGTAGTGAGAAAGTCCAACAATGATTGGGCTGAGTTTAAAAAGGGCATGCAAAAGACGTTTAAGCTAGGAGATGGCCTGCTCACAATTGACCATCTCTATAACATGAACAGAGATGACTTCACCACGATCAGGGCATTCGCCAATACATTCRAAAAGACWGCCGAGAGGGTCCCRAGACTGTYTKAAGAGATGYAGTGCGTCATATTCMTAGGGAAATTCTCTGGGTATGAGGCAATGRAACTAACTCGAGRGGGAGCCGCYGGGAAAAAGACGACCTGGGAAACCATAAAGAGGAACATCGCGGCAGGAGACATGGACCAAGTGTTCCATCACCAAATAAAGGTCGAACGAAAGAAAAGAAAGGCAGTAGGGACAATCCAAGGAACGGAGAGTATACTTGGGGGAGTATTGAGCAATATGACCAACGAGATAAAAGAGCTTAGGGAAAGAGTGACACCATCGAAAGTGTTAACAGTGACACAGCCAACAGGGAAAAAAAAGAAGGAAGAGGAAGATGGAGAGGAAGAGGCAGAAGATGGAGGACCAGAAGAAACGGGTAAACTGACCAAGTGTCAAAGGAAGGCTAAAAATATCGCTATTGGGGGACAAGGCGGAGAATGGAACGGACAAGGATATAGCAGGGGGTGGATTGATTACAGTGAATACATCTGTACCCACTGCGCGATCAAAGGGCACACGGTAAAACGATGTCATGTTAGAAAGCTTGATGAGCGTGAAGGGCTCATAACATTAAACATGAAAGGCGAGGTGTTCGACCAAAATGGTAGGGTGATTGATCCTGAGATTCCAGGGGGCACAAGGGAAGAGGCTCTTCGTGTGACCGTGCTTGGTCCCAACGAACCAGGAATGTTCCGAATTTGGCAGAAAAAGGAAGAATCAGTAGTGCAGGTGGACGATATAACTAACTTGGAAGAGAAAGTGAATAGGATGGGGATTGGAGAAAACAAGGGAGACGTGCCGCTGGTGGAAGAAGAAACAGAGGAGGAAGACGTTAGGGCTAACATCAGAGACACGTTCGATAGGATGAAAGACTTGGTAGACAAAATACAGAGGCTACATCTGAGGCTTCAAGGGATATGTGAAGAAGCAGGAGAAGAAGGAGCAGGATGCCCAAAGGTATTTACCATGGGGCGTGGGGGAACGGGAGATGGGCCAAATGAACCCAACCCGAGAATGTTGAGAGCCAATATGGCCGCAAGGAACAGTGGAAGTCAGAGAAGTATGAGAGGAACGATTCCATTCGCTACAATAAGATCCGCAGGAGGGAATCCTCAAAGGAACAAGCCCAGGCTTCCCAGCCAGCAGAAGAAGAACCACCTATCACGGTATAGGGTGATGAGGATGAGGATGAGAAAATTAGGGAGGAAGAAGAAAGGCAGGCGGCGATAAGGGCTAAGAGAAGGAAAGACGAAGCTAAGGAAGGAAGATCAAAAGGGAATACGGGACCAAGCAAGAAGAGAAAGTACCAAACTTCGATCGAAGAAGGGGTGGAACTAGAAGGCCTGGTGAATAAACTGCTGGAGGGGCACAATGAACTATTAAACCTGAAAGAAATCCTCGCTTCAGCTCCTAAGTTAAGAGAGATGGTGAAGACTAGGTTATCACGCCAGAGAGTAGCCTCGGTCCGGATGGGGGATTTGATTCCCAAAGAGGCAAGCTGGAGCGTGGCAGGGAGTAAAATGGACTGGAAATTTGTAAGCACAAGATCCATTGATGTTATGATAAAGGGAAAAATGTGTCCTGGGATAGTTGATACCGGGGCAGAAATGAATATTGTAAATGGAGAAACCGCGGTAAAACTAGGGTTGGAGGTGGATGAGAATGATTGCGGGTTCCTCAACGGAGCCAGTGGCAAGACCGGATACACTGGTGTCGCATCAAATGTGGTCATAAAAATAGGAAGAGTCAAGGTACGTACGTGTTTCTACATCATGCCTAGCTTAGACCTTCCAATATTGTTGGGAAGGTCATTCCTGTGCAGATCTGAATCACTCATTATGAACAAGCATGACGACACTATGTTCGTCATCTTGTGCGATCCTGCCTGTGGGAACTTCGAGGTTATCACCTGTAGGAACACAGACCCGCACAACTCGAAGAACAGGCTCAATGCAGGATCTTACACGTTCGAGGAATCTGAGAGTAGAAGGAGAGAATTGGAATGGGAAAAAGAAGAAGAGGAGTCAGATGATGAAGAAGCCAAAGGACTTGTATTAAGTCTAACAAATATCAGTGACGCAGTGAAACTGGTATCGGTTTATAAGATGGCTGATCCGGACGCAGTTTGGACACTCGCAGAAAGAATCCAGGACGATCCGAAAGGAGGAAGGGTCGATCTCGTTTACCGGCCACCTCCTTCTACTCAGATGATAGTGCCGCATACGCCGAATGCTCAAGCTGCCGGTCAACATTTTTTAGGGGTGGGCTCGAGCAGGGCTCCAAAAGGAGGTACAAGACGGTAGATAAGAAGAGTCACCCTGTGCCAGTTCTAGTGAGTTAAGAAGAAGGGGTGTATTATGATAAGGAAAAAAAATTGATACAGCGAATGAGGGAAGGCATCCAGAACGGGCCTTGTCGTATCAACGATGAGACTGAGAATGAACTGATAATAGGAGAACCTGACTTTCTGACACGGCAAAAGGAGGACTTGGTAAAAAAACTGATACGTGAAAAACATGGGGCATATGCCTTCAACGATGATCAACGTGGAAGGCTGAATGTGGACAAGAAAGAAATGATCCGTATTCAAACTGTACCCCATAAGCCATGGAATATCCGAGTGGCTAAGTATCCCAACCCTGAGGATCGCAGAAGGGTGGTAGAGTACCTAGATGGGAAGATCCGCACGGATGTGGCAGGGTACTCCAGTGGATCATATGCCTCTCCCTGGTTCTGTTTTGTAAAGCCAAATGGAGTTCTCAGATGGGTGCAAGACCTCCAACGACTGAACGCGGTAACTGTAAGGGATGCAGGGGGTCTTCCCAATGTTCACCAGTTATCAGAAGTTTGTGCAGGTATGTCGATTGTGTTCCTTATCGACCTCTACTCTGCATATGACCAGTTTTCAGTCTATCCGGCAGACCGTCCTATCACGGCGATGCACACGCCAAGGGGATTAGTCCATATGAATGTTGCGCCGCAAGGATGGACCAATGCTGTGGCCATGGTGCAACGAAGCATGATCAGGGTAATGCAGCCAATCAACCCTCAGATCACCGAGCCATACATAGACGATTTTGCCGTCAAGGGCCCGATTGAGAAGAATGAGTCAAAAGTGGCTCCAGGGGTAAGAAAGTTTGTGTGGGAACATGTTCAAGGGTTAAGAGAAGTCTTATCTCTGCTAGAAGAGTACAACCTCACCGCCAGTGGTGTGAAGTCAAGACACTGCGTGCAAGAGGTAACCATTCTAGGATACATTTGCAACGAGCATGGTCGGCGCCCTGATAAGAAGAAGACCAATAAAATCCTGGAATGGCCTACTCCTTCAAAAAATGTGGGTGAAGTCCGAAGTTTCCTTGATACTTGTGGGTTCTGGAGAAGATTCATAGAAAGATTTGCTAGCAAAACAGAGCATCTAAGGAAGCTAGTCCGGAAGGATCAGGAATGGGAATGGGGAAACCATCAAGAGGAAGTGGTGGAAGAATTGAAGAAGGAGTTCAGAGAAGGAGGTCTGGTAATAGGGGTACCAGACTTTGATGCGACTATGGAACGACCCTTCATAGTTGAAACTGACGCTGGACCAACCGCCCTGGGAGGCGTCTTGATTCAGGCAGACAGTGAACGAAAGGAGAGGCCGCTGAGGTTTGAAAGCAGGACACTGAACTCGGCAGAAAGGAACTACTCGCAGTTTAAAAAGGAAGCTTTGGCGGTCCTGCACTGCCTAAGGATCTTTAGGCACTACCTCTTTGGGAGGAGGTTTGTGTTCAGGATTGATCCTACGGCGCTTGTGTACTCACTCAAAAACTTCTCGCCCTCAGATCCGACCATAGCCAGATGGTTCACCTATATCTGGATGTTCGACTTCCAGTTAGAGCGGATCCCTGGGAACAAGAACAGGGCGGACTGGATGAGCAGAATTGAGTGGGGAAATCAAGGGGAATCTAATGAAGAAACGGCTCCGGTAGACGGGTTTTTGGACGAAGGGGAAGACATGCGAACTCACGTGAACTGTTGATTCATGTTTGCCGAGAGTAAAAAAATGAGGAGAGGAAATCCGATGTGGCATCCGCCCCCTGAATTTATGAGAGAACCTTCCCTGATACTCACACCATTAGAGGAGGAGAGCTCTTGGAGCGATAGAAATACGAAATGGATGATGGAGTTGGCTTTGGCAGAGAATTATAGGATAATGGATGAGCCGTGAACGATCGAAGCAGGAGTCCAATAAACTGACGAACAGGTAGCCATGATGGGAAGAATGTACTACCTGACAAATTCGCTGTTACAAGTCCAAGCGAATGATGAAAGAGGAATAGTGAAGGCCGATGAGATAGTTATTGGGGATGATTACGAGTTTGATGAAGAGAAGGAAGGAGAATTCGAACAAGAAGAAATTCCAGAGGAATTCAGGGAAGAGGAGTATGAAGGATTCTATTTAGAAATGGGGTTGCTCCTCTCAGGAGATAAAAGAGAGAGAGAAGTGAGTGAAAAGTCTCTCAGGATGAGAGACCACTATGTGATAAGAGGTGAGCACTTGTTTATCAGGGATAAGAGGGGGTCGCCGCGACGTGCCGTATGTGGGAGGAATCGTCAGATTGACGTAGTAGCTGCATTGCACGATGGGATAGTCGGGGGACATCGGAGTTTCGCGGCTACTTACAAAAAGGCGATGGAACTCTACTACTGGGAATGGATGTTTGAGATGACGCGAAAATACTGTGAGTCGTGTATACCCTGTCAAATTCGATCCCCTATCAGGTACAAGGAACCCCTGCATCCTAGATATATCAAGGAAGTAGGGGCGGCTGTTCACCTGGATCTACTGGCTATGCCACTAGGTCTTGGAGGATATAACTAGATATTGGATGTCAGGGATAACCTTGCAGGATTCGTTGATGGCAGAGCAATCAAGAACAAGACCGGGACAACGCTGGCGGATTGTATTAAGGAATATTATCTCAGATATCCTTTCGTATTAGAATTCACAATAGACAGGGGGTCTGAGTTCACATGTGGGGAAGTGAAAAAATTGTTGAAGGAATTGGGGGTCAATGACAATCATACGACTCGGGCTCATCCACAGGCGAATGCACCGGTTGAGAGAGGTCATAACACAATTACTAACTTACTGGCCAAATGAACCAGTGGGAAGCCGAATCTCTGGCCAAAGTTCCTAAAAACAGTGTTCTTTGTAGAGAACATCACTGTAAAAAGGACAACCGGATATGCACCTGCGACACTCTGGTATGGGCGTCACGCCACATTTCCTATTGAAAGCTTCCTGAAGACTTGGCGCAAGCAGAACCTGGAGAACAACTTAACTTTGGAGAAACTTCTAGATCTAAGGGCAAGGCAGATCAGCGCTACTGAAGAAAGGGTGCATGAAGCATCCATGAACATTGCAGACAGCAGGGGAAAGGATAAGGAAAGGTGGGACAAACTACCTAGAGTAAGACTCGAACCTCTACAAGTTGGCGAGACAGTACTACTCTACGATTTCTCTTTGCAAATGCAGTGGTCATGAAAATTGGACAAACGGTGGCTAGGACCATTCAAAGTCAAGAGACAGGGACTTCATGAGGCATATGAGCTAGAAGAAATGAATGAGACTCCAAGGAAGGACTGGGTCTCAGGATCTAGACTGAAGAAGTACCGAGTCAGAGAAGAGGTAAGCTCAGCTACGATACGAAAGCTTGGATAGATTGGGAAGGTATTTAGGCATGCATATGTGTATCAGTTGCTATGCAGGTATGTACCCAATTGCCCAAGATTATGCTCATACATATATGGCTACATACATACATATATATATATATGTGTGTGTGTGTGTATGTATGTGTACGTACATAGATGCAGAGGGGTATAAGTGAGATATGTGTGTGTATATACGCTCATGTATGTGTATATGTATATATATATATATGTATATATGATATATATATATATATATATGTGTGTATATGTGCGTGTAGGTAAGTATCTGATAAAGGAGGGCATTGTCAACTTGTGTTACAAGGAATGTTACCTTGGTGATAATCTGACCCTCGTACCTGTCATTTGCTGCTTCTTTGTGTGCAGGCGTGACTCTTGGAAAGAAGAGGCCATGGCGTAGAGAGGAGCAGTGACAGAGCCCTCTGGACCTGCCTTGAAAAAGGGAGGGCAGAGGAGGGAACAGAGAATCTCAAGGAACCTGGAGGAGCTGCCCATTTACAGGGCTGGAGACAGCCTGCGAGTTTTCCTGCGAGATCTTGAGGAGTACACATTCAGGAGAGAATGGGGTGACAGGGAAAGGATTACGAATGTGAGAGGAGCAAGAATGTACAAAAGGAGGATTGAAGGAGTGGTGGCAGGTTGCACAAGGTGGGGGGTATGCAAGGTGAGACTATGAAGAGACATGGGGGAATTCCCAAGGGATGATGTGGAGGATGACTTGAGGTTCGATGGGACCAATCTGGAGGACTTTGTTGAGAGCTTGCAGCTGACCGCTGAGAGGGGCGAATGGAGCGAGAAGGAAAAGCGAAAGCAGTTGATCGCGAGATCAGACAAAGGCGAAAAAGAGGAAGTAAGAGAAATTGTGGAAGGGAGTCGGACCTTGAAAAGGATAACGGCAAAATTATGGATGACCTACACCCAGGTCAGGCAAGATCGGATAAAGAAGGAAAGGCTACAAAAGAAGGGGCTATGGATTGGAAGAGAAGTGACTGAGCCACAGGGGAAGGAGAAAGATAATGAAGAAGAGGATAATGTACCTCTGAAGAAGTTGAAGAACAAGGCGAGAGTCTCCCCCAAAAGCAGCAGCAAGGAATCTGAGCAGGCTGAGGGAGATAAACAGGAAGAGGAGGAGGCAGCAGAGGAGAGAAAAAGAAGCATGGGGGTCAGCATGGTACTAAGGAAGAAGAAACTTGGAAAGAAAAGGGCAATTGAAAGTGGAAGGAAAAAGGTACAAGAAAGGGTGAGTGAAAAAGGGGAAGGAGTAGAAGAAGATGAAGAAGGAAAGGAGGTCTAGGGAGGAGGCGAGGCTCCCAAAGTCAAGAGAACTAAGGAAAAAAGGCCGATTGGGGACAAGGAAGAGACAAGTGGGATAGGAAAGAAGGAAGATGAGAAGGATGGCCAGGTGGAGAAGTTGATGAGAGATATGAAAGAAATGAGGAAGGAAGTAAGGGAATTGAAGGAAGAGAAGGAGAAATTGCAAAAAGAAATGAGCCAATTGAGGGCCACCCTGAATGTGCAGAGCAGAGAACTGGAAGAGGAAGTGGCCACAAGAGGTAAGATGAAAATAAGGGTGGATGGTCTGGTTTCTGAGGTCAGTGTGCTAGGGCAGAACTTGGACAATGAAACCTCAGAAAGAAAAAAGTTGGGACAAGAGTGAGAGAAAAGATGGGAAGAGATATCGAGAAGAATGGAGGAATTCAGATTGAGCCAACAGGGGATGGAGAAGGAAGCCATAGTGATGGTGGGAAGAAAAGGGGGTAAAGAGAAGGGAGCACGGACTAAGGAGAAGAAAAAAGAGCCTCCTGCACCAGAAAAGGAAGTAAGTGAGAGGATCACCACTCCCCTCTACTATCCATCAAATTCTTCTCATGTCATTTCCTATACTACTTCCTATGCTAAGTTCCCTCATCTGACTGAAGAAAGCACAGAACTTGTCTCACTCTTGTTTCTCATGTCCAACTGAAGAAGAAAAAACACATATCCCCTTGCTCTAATTTACACCTTTCGCTCTCTCATAACTGTCTTTTAAGCCAATTCAAGTCATAGTTTACTCAAAATATCTACCTATTCCTACCTAGAAATCAACTGGCAGTCCCAGTATCTTGTGAAGTACTACCCTGCCTCCCTCAGGTATCCTGGGAATGGTCTGACCTGTGCCGGCCACCAATCTCTTATGACTATCATATTTGGTTTTTCCTTCCTTGATATAAATTGCTAGAATGGAACACTCATCCCTGATGTGCCTTTCTTGAGTGCAGAAGAAACACCTCTGTCGAACCATGCTAGGCTTGATTCTTTTTACGTCTGGCTGGATTGAATTCTCAGTCTGATCTTCAGCCACCTTTGGTGAGTCCAACTGGGATTCTCTTTGCCTTTTACCCTGTCCTGGCATAGACAGGCAGGGGCAGACGAACAGACAGTCAGAGGGAAACAAACTAACAGACACAGAGAAAACAAGGGAGATATTTCTTCTTCTTCTTCCTCTTCTCAGTCCACCATCTCCTTCTCACCTCTCATCTTCTGACTTCATTACATCTACGGACTGTGAGAGAAGAGGGAGAGAGCTTGGTGCCATTTGATCCAGGCTCGACATTGGGCTTCAGACATTTGACAAGGGATTATCTGGGACTTGTACCGAAGACTTCGTGTTGACGACATTCCCATCTTCCTCTCTTCTGCATATGATCCCTTCCTCTCCGTCTGTGTATGGTCTGTACCTGGCGCATCCTTCCTGGATATAGCGCCAGGCCCCTTCACGCCATGGAATGACGATGATGTATGTCGGGGCCGCATCGCAATATTGATTGACCGGATCATTGGTGCCTGAGTCTTCCGTTACGCTATCTTATACTTTGCATGAAATGTCGATTCTTGTTCTGGTCTGCACTTTTACTGTATGCAGCACGCGTACACGTAGTAAGAGAGAAGAGAGAAAGAAGGGGAGAAAGGGAAGGAGAGAGAAGAGAGAGAGAAGGGTGATTATGATGATGATGGTGGGATTATGTTGGTAATAATGAGATGATGATGATGATGGT